ATTTACATATTGTCTGCCATTGCTCACTACTGTTTCATGTATGTCTGTTTTGTCCTCTCCTCTCCTCTCCTTTTTTCTTTTTTCTTTGAGTCAAGGTCTCACTGAATTCTGGCTGGTCTTGAACTCACTATGTAGCTCAGGGTGGCCTCAAATTTGAGGCAATCCTCCTGTCTCAGCCTTCTAAGTGTTGGGATTACAAGACTGAACAAGCATGCTCTGTGTCAGTTTTGTTCTTTTCATCTTATCTTTAAGTTCCTTTTCTGTATCCACCATAGTGCACAGCACTTAATAATATTTGTGTAACACTGGCAACTATGAGATACTGGACCAATCGTTTTACAAACATTTTTTTCATTTAATTTTTATAATAATTCTTGACAATGCATGCTATTAACTGAAGTTCTACAACCTGAAGGACTCGCCTAGCATCACGTAGTGATCCAATTTGGAGGCCAGAGTTCAAACTCCAGATTGTCTAGACTTCAAAGTCTGTGTTCTTCTTATTCAACCAGGTTGTTTATAAAAATAGGTGAAAAGGTAGCTATTTGATCTCATATTAAAGATGAAGAAATGGGGTCAGATCTGAGAAAGCAGTTGGCCAAAATTCTGTAGTTGATGACACCAACCTGCATGTTTGGATGCCCACTTCAATGCAACATTATACCACAAGATTCTCAAACAATTGTTTGAACTATTGATTATCATATTAAAAGATACTTTTTCTTTTACTGAATTTATAGTCACTCTTCATGTGTTCAACTATATAAAAATACCACTTAAGTATTTAAGCTTTATAGTCACAATACCAACAGTATCTATGAATATCATTTAATAAGCTTTTCTATTGCTAAAATTATTTGTGTAGTTAGAATTAAGAAATCATTCTGCTTTTCACTGATTCATTTTTATAATCTCCAGTGTGCACCTTGTACAATGTCTAACACATGCTAAGTACTCCATATATATTTATTCAGTGATTGAATTATAGTATTTTTTGCTTTACATTTTGATGTTTCAAAATTTTCTTTTAATTCTCCTCTTGCTCTCCAATATTCACAGCCCAAAAAAGCTTACATGACAAATGTTTTTGTTGACTTGAACTTGATATGATAACGTCAACATCCAAAATGTGTTTATGTGAAAGCTTGATCTGAATAAAGAAATAACACAGTACCTTCAGAATACTTTCCTTGACAGAAATGAAGATATTTTACCTTCTGATTCCCTATAGAGGAATCCTTCCCTTCTCTGAAAACCTGTAATACTAATTCACTAAAATATTAATTTGATATTTAACATGTATTACTTTGTATGATTAGTAAGTTTTATATCTACCTTCTCCTCAAACATAATGTAGGTCTCAAAGTATAAGCTACAGTTATTATCTAACAATATGATAGAGTTGAAGTAAATGACCACGGGGTTTTTATTGAATTTTTTAAAAGGGGGAGTTTTCACTGTTTCACTGCCTCAAATGCATGGGCTCAAGTAATTTTCCTGCTTCAACGTCTCAAATACTGTAGCTGGGATTAAGAAGCATGAGTTATCTTTTCAGAGATGGGTTTAAATCCTAATTCTGTCATTTATCAACTATGTGACCTTAGTATTCATTTCATCTCTCTGAATGTCATTGTTTACAAAACAAAATTGCTATGTTACAGGGTAATAGGATTAGAATATCCTATTGCTGCAAATTTGAGGCCAGCCTGGGCTACAAAGTACGTTCAAAGGTCAGCCTGAACTGCATAGTGAAACCCTGTCTCAAAAAAGAACAACGACAAAAATCCCCATAGATCCTCCTATATACACAGTAACATCTATTGTTGACAACATAACTACATGCTTCATGTTTGGTCTACAGATAAAAAAAAAAAACATACAAACCAAAACATACCTGTTAGATAAGAAGTAAACTGCTTTGGACCACAGCGAATAGCATAACGTGTAGTAGTTCTCACAGCTTTTGGTTCTGTCTGTAATGCATCCCTGGGACAAAACAGGGTTCCATTTGACGTTTCTCCCCACCATCTCACTCGGACAAGTACACAAGTGGGAGGTTTTGTAATCTTCCATATGATTTTATTAATAGTAAGTTTTAGAAAGCAGCGGAGCTGGCCTTCAACCAGTGGTGGTAGGCTTGTAGACGGCGAAATGTCACTCAAACCTACAGAGGAATCCAAGAACACTAACTCAAAAATCTACACTGTGGAAAACATGAAATCTGCTTTCTCAATTAAAACAGAAAACTTTAATCTTTACAGAGAGAAGGCTTATTCTATCTATTCTGTGAGAAGTAACAAAGAACTCAGACCAGAGAATACTTACCTATCACTCTGTCACTGTGATAACTAATTAGTACTAAGGGCTTGGTTCAAGAACATACTAAGACATACTAACACAGACTTTTATTTAATTGAAAGATATTATTTGAAAAGTACAAATATAATGATACCAAATAGATAGGCATTCAAAATCTAAGCAGTAATGGAAATTTTTCTAAGTTGTTTTAATTATTACAACTCTACATTTTAAGACGTTATCTTTTTACCTAGCTTATTTTAAAATTATCTTTAAACATAAAACAGCAACTTCCTTCATTGGACACTCACTTAGTGTATATCACACAATTCAACAAAGAACATCTTAAACTATTCATGTCTTCTCTTTTGCCAAGATCATATAATCAATAAGGACACAGCCCAACATGTTTAGATTCTGCAACTATTTTTTAGTTATGGTTTCAAATTTATTAGCTTCGATACTAATTGGATGACAGAAAGATGGGAAGTCAAATGTAAACACGGCAGTTAATCATGACCCTACTTGTCTTCGGTCAGTGTCTTTTCTACAAGACTTATAAAATTATTAGTATATTACTTACACTTTTCTATGGGGAGTGGTAATGTTTCATAAGAAAATATACTGGTCTGTCAGATCAGAAATCTATATAACTAATTCTTTGTAATGATAATGCAAACACTCTTCTCTATAATGGAGACAAGACCCACCATAACGTTCATGGGTAAGCTTTAATATAAAAATTAGTTAATTTAACATAGCTAATGTACATTTAATACAAAAATTATATGCATGCTATGGTCAGGCTACCTGTAATTCCATCACACAGAGGCTAAGGTAGGAAGACCATGAGGGATGCTGGCCTGGGACAAAAGAGGGTTTGTCCTTTTGCCTTAAAACTTTTGCCTTAAAAAACAGGGTCTGTCCTTTTGCCTTAAGACTTTTGCCTTAAAAAATATCTTATATGCAGCTATGCACATGAGTATTCCCACATATGCACATGGCACATTCTTTTCTATACTACTACTAAAATTATTTCTATTTTGACATTTCTATCAATCTAGTATGCTTCACCGGTTTGACACAGGGAGCACCAATATTGGACATCTCCATGCTCTGTTTCTGTGAGGACAGACTGTCTCAAAACTGCCTCAGGCGGGGCTGGGGATTTAGCTCAGCGGCATAAGCACCTGCCTTGCAAGCACACTGTCGTGAGTTTTGATCCCAGGTACCAATTAAAAAAAAAAAAAAAGAAAAAGAAAACTGCCTCAGGGGCATTTTAAACAGCTTGGACAAGACTCATTCCCATACTGTGAGCAGTCTTCACACCACAACTTACTGTACTATGACTGCTTCCAACACCTCTATTTTCACTAAAGTGACTATAATATAAAAGACAGGTTCACATTATAAAATTTTGTATTTTATAATATAAAAATGCCTCTTCCCCCCTGGAAAATAGCCTTATAGAGATTCAATTTCTAGCTTTCTGATCTGTCCTGATTTCCTAGGATGACTATTTTCCCTGCAGCTAGCATTACCTACTCATTTCGAAAGCTCTTTCTCCTTGGACTACTATCGTTACGAGGTCTTCTTAAGGTCCTTCAAGGGATCTTCATGCCCTTATCTCCTACTTCAAATACTTAGTATCTTGCCATTCTCACACTTTTTCCTTTCGCATCCTATAAAACTATCTTTCCCAACTCCTGCTCATAGTTCATGCTTCGATTCAATGAACTTAACATTTACTTAGTCCTACTTGGTGACAGTTCTTGAAGGATTTAGTACCGAACAAAACATGGTCGACGGCCAACCCAACAGGACCATTAACATACACCCCTTTTCGATCCCCCCCCAACCTTTAACGCTACATATGTGCATACGTATACATTTACCTTTGTTATCAAAAACATGCCCATACTTTTTTGTTTTTCCTTCACCCATACCATTTAAGCTCTCGCCATTCTTCATTACCCTTTTGCCTACCAGCTACCTAGCAGGCACCATTTTCTTTGCATTCTTGGAAGTTGCTCTCCTAACCTTCTAGCTCCCCACTTATTTTCTCTCTTCTGTCCGTTCATTGCTCCCCACCCCCTAAACCGGAGAGGCTGATAAGTCTCCCCACAGTTCTGTACGCCCTGCTTCCCTATTACGTCCGCTTTTTTAGGCGTCCGACAACTTTTGACAGCTAGAGTTACCTCTCTTCTTGCGCCCACGGCCGCCCCCAGGTTCCTGGCCTTTTCGTTGTTTCATGACTAGCCGGAGCTCTGCTTCGCTAACTCAACGCCAGGGCCAGCACCTAAACTGTAACCTCCCGCCATCCCTTCCCACGGCGCCTGCGTTCCCCGGCAACCGGCGCCGCTACGGAGTCTGGGAGGCAGGAAGAAGCTGCTCTTTCTCCAACAGTCTCCGGAAAGCACTGTCCAGGAAAGGCGCCAAGACTATTTCTCGCCAATAGACTACAACACCCAGAATGCTTCGCTACACTACCTATGCAGGACTGGATGGAGCCGCCTCCTGCTGCGCAAGCGCAGAGAGATACGCTCCTTGAGGATTTCATTGCCTAGCGTACATTGCCTTTAGGAGCGCTCCTCCTTCCGGCGAGGGTTGTGGAGTTCTCTGAGGGTCTTTAGGGTCCTCAGACTCCGTTACCCAGCTTCCTTTGTGGAGGACTGTTGCGCATTTCCGGCAGAAGCGCCAGGACGAGGGGGCGGAGTTTACAGAGCCGGTGGGCGGTAGGCGGTGCTGCCGGTTTCTGGGTGCAGTTCAAAGGCGAGCAGGCGTCGTTAAGTGGACTAGGTGTGATCGATTGGGCCACGCTGAGCGTGGGACGAACCTTGTGGTACTGTTTGGCGACGAGCGTCCTTCCCTTGATGTCAGCCCTCGAGAAGAGCATGCACCTCGGCCGCCTGCCCTCTCGTCCTCCTCTCCCAGGCAGCGGGGGCAGTCAGAGCGGAGCCAAGATGCGAATGGGGTACGTGACTCGTACCGCTTCTCCCTGGAGGCCGGCCCTGGCAGTTGGAGAATGGTGTCTGGGCGTTTAGAGCGACACGGGAGGGGAGGCATAGGATAGGAGGAATTGTTGGCGGCCTGGAGAGACGTTTATTTGGAGTAGATGGCAATTTGGCGACTAGGGGAGGCGCCAACTAAATAGAAATTGGAGGGCAGATAACACTGTTGAAGGGAGAAGGGAATGAGGGAAAGATTGGGGAAGGTGAGTGAGTAATTTAGGCTGGGAAAAGTAACTCTAGCACAGTGACGGAGGTAGGAGAGAGTCTGCCACGGAGGGTTGAGGGAATGACTGAGAAAAGTTGAGAGTAATCGGGAAATAACGAAGGAAAGCTTTGGCAGGAGGGTAAAAAGATCGTGAAAACTGAATATTAGAAACGCTGAGGGAAGTGGGGAATACCATAGGCGGGGTTAGAGAGGAAGAGAGAACGAGAGAACTGAAGGTTGTAGAGAGTTTCCAGAAGTGTAAGAGGGCGAGCCAGTGAGGGTGTGACTGAGATTAGGTCTCTTACAGGAGAATGAAGAAAGTTTGAGTAATCAGCCTAAGAGAAGGTCGAAAACATCCTAGAAGACTGTTCTGACAAGCCGGAGTGAGGGGTGGCAGAATGTCAGGAGAGATCTCATGAGAGTTCTGAGTTTAGAGGGAGGCCATAGTCTCTAGGCGGGAATGATTAGGAATGGAGCTTAAGTGGAAGCACTGTAGAGGTGAGGTCTGGGAAGCTTAAAGAGGAAAATTTGGGCTAGGCAGGGTAAGGTTGGGGAAAGCCATGTAGTGGTCCAGGACAGAAATACTGACGCACTGGGAGTAGCAACTCAGAATGTTTTGGAAAGAGTTTGTTGGGAAGGGAGGAGAACTGGGTGGATGAGACAAGCTCTGTGATTTTAATTTTAGATCCTTGAATGACTTGTGTCAGACCAGGGGATGGTTGGGTGTAGGAGGAAGCCCAATTAGTTGAGTGTGGAAGAGACAGTTGCTGGAAAGCAGAGAAAATAGAATAGGTTTTAAAGGATGTTTGTAGCGTCAGGATTCTGGGGATTACTGATTTTGGAACAAAGGGGATAGGAAGGATGCTTAGGAATGAGGTAGTCAAGAGTGTGTACTGTTTTATGGATTTTAGAGACAGGTTAGTAGTATTCTTGGGGAAAGAACAAGAAAGAAACGTTAGGTTCTGAAAAGAGTAATATGTTAAAAAAAATGATCACAAAGGAGATAGGCATAGGTATGGTACTGTGGCAGTGGATCACAGGAATGAAAAGATAATAAATTTTGTCAGTGAGATGGAGGGATGATAATAGTACTTAGGGAAACAGATAAGGAAACCAAGTATCCTACTGGAGACCTGACAGTGATAAAGCAGAAAAAAGAAAACTTTGACAGACGTTAGATGGTTATATATGGGGTAGGAGGCTAAATATTAGGTAAAATGAAGATTACTTTGGCTTTGAAAGACAGGGACTGTAACAGATCATTTGGAAAAATTAACCTGAGTATAAAATTAGTGTAATAGTTATTTTTGATGTGTTTTTTAGTTGTTTATCTTAAGCCAAAATTTGATAATGCAGGATTTGATACAAATACAGTATGTGAAAATTCTACTTTTATACCTACATGTATTTTAGACTAGTTTAGAGCTAAACTTCTTCATCAAAACAAGTTCTATAAAGATGAAGAATTGGATTGGGATGGGAGAATACCATGATAAAGGGAAAATCTGCTCAGTGGTTGTGAGTAGCTTATCCTGTTTAAACAGATACTTTGGTTTCTTCAACAAAGGTTAACTGCTTATACTGGAAAAGAAAGTTCTTTAGGTAAAAAAAAAATTTCTTTAGAAAGGTGCTTCTTTTTTTTTTTTTTTTTTTTTTTTTTTCTTTTTTGTGGTACCGGGGATCAAACTCACGACTACACACTTGCAAGACAGGGGCTTATGCCGCTAAGCTAACCTCCCAGCCCCTAAGATCCTTCTTTACATAGTGTTATGAAGGGAAGAGCAAGTGAATAGCTTGTGGACTTCAAAGTGGCTTATTTTCCTTTTTTACTTGCCTTTTGATAAATGTAGATTCTCTTACTCCCTCAAGTCATAAAGCTAAAGAGAGCATAGGAATTATTTCATTTTACCAATGTACTGGGTAGTTAAGGAACCTGAAATTCAAAGAGAATTCTGTAAGGTAAACTAAGAGGCTGTCTTAATAAATGAGGAAACACAGGCTCAAATATTTCTGATAGTAAGGCTCTTTTAGAAGCTTAATGGTATGGACAGTAAGGACTGAAACGGGTCTGTTGACTCTTGACCTGTTTATTGGAATTGAAGTTGTTATCCTCGAACACTTAAATTGAGTTATGTCATTCCTTTATATTCTAGAATTTATATCTAGGATTCAGTCTGTTTCCTTAGTTCCAATTTCAAAGTATCTTTTTTTTTTTTTTTTTTTTTTTAATTCTGCGTGGTACTGGAGATTGAACCCAAGGTCTTTGTACTGAGTGACATCTCTAGCACTGTATGTCTCCCCATTTTGAGACAGGATCTCACTAAGTTGTTTAGGCTGAGCTCAAACTTAACTTCTTCCTACCTTAGGCTCCCAGAGTGCCTAGAACAAAACATCTTTATTTCACTTTTTGCTTGGTTTTTTCTTATCTTTCCTTCTTTCCCACCCCCCCCATCCATTTCTTACTCTCAACTTGAGCCCCTTCCCCTTAATTGTTTTCTTGTGTGACTTACTCTTTCAACTATTTTTCATGACCTTGCCTCATTTTCACTAAACCTTTCTTAGCTGTGCATGCATAGAGTGTGTATTCAGAGTTTATGATTGTTCTTGAATTTTTGTAATTCAGTTTTTCAGATTGGCTTTAGCAATTTCTGGATAATGTAGTAATAGCAGTTACTTTATTTTTTGTAAGTACTGTATACCAGGCATTGTTATAGCAGCTCTGTGTGTTATTTTGCATAATCTGTCTACAACTCCGTGAAGTAGATATTTCCATACATTGATTCATTTATTTATTTGATGTGTTAGGATTTGAACCCAGGACCTTTGCACCTATATACCTAGACCTTTTTAATTTTTGAATTTTGAGAGAAAGTCATGCTAAGTTGCCGAGGCTGGGCTCAAACTTCCCATTTTCCTGCCTCAATCTGTGGTGGCATTAGGCACCATGCCTGGCTATTTCCCTGTATTTTATTTGTAAAGGAATTTATTCTCAGAGACTAAAACTTAACCCATCAGCGTGTGGCAGAACTAAGATTCAGTCTAGATTTAGGTTCTAGAATCCATTTCCTTTTCAGTACTCAACACTCAAGTGAGACCTGGAACTCTGGTGTCATTGTTTCCAAGTAGATATCAGAAAATGATACAGGGCTGGGGGCGGGGGTGGGTTTAGCTCAGTGGCATAAGCGCCTGCCTGGCAAGGGCAAAGTCATAAGTTCTATTCCTGGTGCAAAAAGAAAAAAAAAAAGAGAGAGAGAGAGAGAGAAAATGATACAAAAACTTAGTGGTTTTGAATTCCTTTATTAAAGTTTTAGGAGTTACTCTGATTAAAGTAGTTAAGGAAAGGTTCCCCCCACTGTCCGCAGTACTGAAGAGTGAACCCAGGACCTCCTGCATTTGAGGCAAGTGTTCTTGCACTACGCTATAGTCCTAGCCTATTTTGAATTTTGAGACAAAATCTCGATAAGTTGCACAGGCTGGCCTTGAACTTGTGATCCTCCTCCTTTTCTAGAGTAGATGGAACTATAGTGATGCACCACCATACCCACTGAGAGGAATGTCTTGAAAATCACTGCTTTTGTTCATTCCATTCACAGTTGGAAGGCCATAGGACATTAAAGCCATGTGTTGTTACCCAACACATTTCTGGTTTATTATTAGTGCTACTTTTCTATAATCATAGCTTACGTTTCTAAAATACTTTAACTGGCTTGTGTAAGTACCTGTTTGTATTTTATGAGTTAAACTAGGATGAGTTAATATTTTAACAAATGAGAAAATGCATGTGTTTATTTACTTGTCTAAAATTACAAAATCAGAAAGTAGCAAAAAAAGAATTAAAAACCCAAGACTTCAGATTTTTAATCTCCTAGTCTTCATGTTAGACTGGATGAAAGTGTTTGGTGTGTGGAGTGACAAATCAAAGTGTAAAGCTCAACTTGATTTTTACGTTGGTCAAGCCGTTTACCTTCTTTAGTCCATCATCTTATTACTCAGATGGGAATACCTCTGTTTAACCTCAGTGTGCTTGAGGTTCTGAGAATAACATGGGAAAAGCAGACAAGGTTCCTGATTCATAAGCTTGAAGGAATGATAGTAGATTATTTTATATTGAAAACTGAGAAAAGTTTTTGCCTTGTGAAGTAGAAGCTTTCATTTTCTTATAATGTTAATTTGCTTGCTTGCTTGCTTGCTTTCTTTCTTTCTTTCTTTCTTTCTTTCTTTCTTTCTTTCTGAGACAGATAATTTGGATGACAGGTATACTCCCTGGACCTGGTTAATATCAGCTTCTCTTCCCTCAATCCTCTTTTTTTTTTTTTAATCTTTTTGAGATGGGGTCTCACTATGCAGTTCAAGCTAGCCTTGCACTCACTTGGTAGCCCAGGGTGGTCTCTGCCTCAGCCTCCTGAGTACCGGGATTAAAGGAGTGCGCCACTTTTCCCTGGTATCAATCCTCATATTAATATTCATATCTGATTAGTTTTTCATTGAACTTTTAAAATTTACTATGGATATTAGATTTCTTAGCAAAGATTTAATGAGCTATTCATGTAAATGGAGAAATAAAGGCAAATAACTTGCTTGAGGTCACAGATTGTTAGTAAAAGAATCAAATTTGAGTTATTTTTTCCAATTTTATAAAAAATAAGTTATAATTCACATATCACAGAATTTATTTTTTATTTACTTATTTATTTTTTGTCTTTTTGAGACAAGTCTTGCTATGCAGTTCAGGCTGGCCTTGAGCTCACTTTGTAGCCC